GTGGCCGTTTGATCGCAACACTGATTAGCCTTGACGCTGTTTTTTTGCTTTTTCTTATTGTAATATTTGGTTTCTATTTGGAGAGTAATTGATTATTAGTTTTTTGTGTGTTCTTTTGTCTTTATTTTATTAAGTGACAGTACATTCTTTTCATGTTTATTTTGTGTTAATTGTTTTTGGCTGGCAACCTTAACAATTAATGCTGTTTTTTTTGTATCAGTTGGTTCTTTCTTTTCTTTCTAGGAGCAGGGGTGACCCAAAAGTGGGCAGGCTAGCCATCCTGTGCATGGTGAATGGAAACTCCTTTTAAGAGTGCGGTGTAGGTTTTCTTGCAGTGGATTTCACTGGAGTGTGTGCTTTGGAAGTTTTGGGCACGGTGTACTTATTGCGGGCTGATTCGAAGCCCACCGCTCAGCCTGCCCAGCTAATGGTGCGCCCCAGCTCCATGACGAGAGCCTGCATTTGTTCCCTTGTCGGACCTAGTTGCTCATATACAAATTAGCTCAAATATAAATCAGTGGCCTTGTCTTCCATATCAACTATTTTACTGACCCTAGTGGTATTTTAAACTATTTATGATCAATGAATAAAGAGACTTTTCTGTATTCACGTCTCAGTGTTTTGTGATTGTGGGAAGGAGAACGAACTTGTGTGCCCTTTTATGGGTTTTTCCCCAGCTGGTTAAATGCTGGGGTGGCGTAGTCGTTATTTATTAGAGCTCTGTATGGGAGAGTGCAGCCCATCCTATATCGCTAAAATTGAGCCTCTTGCTACAATCTGGCGTAGTCGGCAGGATTTTCTCCTCCTTAACACACTGACCTGAGACGTAGATATTTGTATGAATTGTGGTTGTTGTTTTTTTTTTTTTTTTTTTTTTTTTTTTTAAAGAAGCAAAACAGCAGTGTTAATTTGGCTGGGAGTGTGCTTTTCGTAGTAAGCTGAGTTCCATCTTGGCATGTGGTATTCTCTGGTCAAAATTTTTTGGTAAGTTTCTCTTCCATCGTGTGAATTTTAAAAATGGGAGATGAACTACAGGAACTAAGAGAATTAGTAGCTCAATTAAGAGTTGACAATTTGAAGCTGCGTCAGGATCAAGCCCTGGCCATTTCGCAAGAGATTGCAACGGAGAACGTATTCCTCCCCGCTCACCTTTGATCGACCGAACAGACACCAGGGCACTGGGAGGCAGGCAGCCTTATTCAGGTGCGACGTTGAGTAGCCGTAAAGACAGAGGACCTGTAACCAGTGCCTTACTCATGTTTTTAGCCGTCATGTCCGAGAACTCGTGTATCACTTGTTTCTCATTGTGTAGCCGTAAAGGCAGAGGACCTGTAACCAGTGCCTTACTCATGTTTTTAGCCGTCATGTCCGAGAACTCGTGTATCACTTTTTTCTCATTGTGTAGCCGTAAAGGCAGAGGACCTGTAACCAGTGCCTTACTCATGTTTTTAGCCGTCATGTCCGAGAACTCGTGTGTCACTTGTTTCTCATTGTTTAGCCGTTATGTCAGAACTCGTCTATCACCTGTTCTCGTTGAGTAGCCGTAAAGGCAGAGGACCTGTAACCAGTACATTACTCCTGATTTTAGCCGTCATGTCCGAGGATTTGTGTATCGCTTATTTCTCGGTAGGTAGCCGTAAAGGCAGAGGACCTGTAACCAGTGCCTTACTCGTGTTTTTAGCAGTCGTGCTGAGAACGTGTGTATCACTCATTCTCGTTACGTAGCCGTCAAGGCAGAGGCCTTGTGTGTCGAGTGCGTCCGTGATCTCGTGTTGTAGCCGTCAAGGCAGAGTAACTGTTTATCACTCGCGATGTAGCCGTCAAGGCTGGGAACTTGTAATAAGCTGTCCATCGTCGGGTCGGCGATGCAAAAGCGGGGGGTAGATTGTGGTGAAGTGGCGCTTTAAGCATGACTCCGCCCCATGTATATTTACAGAGCTTTATTTAGAGTATATAAAGGGCAGCCCCAGAGTAGCGGGATATTGCGTCATCATTGTGTCACCTGGGCGTCATGGTTGCCGGTGCTCGACATCTCTGAGTGTGAGCTGGTGTCTGTTCGGAGGTACTGATCGTACCGCTCGAGAGGGTGTTTCCTCTGCATCATTGCTGTAGTTCCAGTTTAGGATCGATCACACGTAGAACACGGCGTGCTGTGAGCAGTGTTGGGAACGTTACTTTAAAAAAGTAATTAGTTGTAGTTACTCACTACTTGTTCCAAAAAGTAACTGAGTTAGTAACTGAATTACTCTATAATAAAAGTAACTCGTTACCAGGGAAAGTAACTATTTGCGTTACTGTTAAAAAAAAGTTGCTATATGTCAAAGAATTTGGATTTTTTTTTAGCAGTTTTCACAAGTCAGTTGAAATGAGTAGAACAGACAGGTGTTTGTACGTAACTTTCGATATTTATTGCACGTCGACAGACAGCAAGAGGTCTATCCTGCAGCTCAAGTATTATCTTTGTAAGAAAAGTAAACAGTTACACCATATAAAGTGCATTTAACTCTAGCAAATTAAATCAAAGACATTCTGTACTTCAAGTATTTTCTTCAAAAGTAAACTTTAAATAATATAAAGTCTGTTTGCAGTAACTGTAGCAAATTAAATAAATTAAACAAACTCTAACAACCTGAGATAAATAGTCTGGAAGACATAGGCTGCTGTATTTCTTTATCTTCATTAAAAAAGTAAACAGTTTAACAAGATGGAGTGCTTTTAAAGATTGAACTTTAGCTCCTAGATATAGCTGTATCTATATATCTAGATCAAGCAGGGACACGTTTGTGTGCATTTTATTTTGTGATTTCACCGGAGTGAATAGTCTCCGCAACGGCGATAGATTGAAGCGCGCGTCCGAGTGAAGACTGCGCGCGCCGCGAGCCACAAGAGAACAACTGTATCCATGACACTGATCGCAGCAGCACGAGCGCTCAGCTGGATCTCAAAAACAACAGATTTAAGCGCTAGATCTCTTATTTAATAGCGAACTAAATGAATGCTCTGCTAGTTAACTGGATATGTTTTATTTATTTGTATTAGGTATCCGTTCTATGACATTAGTATATTTTTTACTAACCGTATATTTACGTATATTGCGTCGTTGTACCCAGCACTTCTGAAAGTGCACTTCCGAATGCGTCTCTGTCCCCCACACATTTCAAACCAAACTGACGCCCATGAATCAACGCATAGTAATGCACCGCATTTTACGTCCAGTAACATTAACGGCGTTGTAACGACGGAAAAAGTAATTAGTTAGATTACCCCGCTACTGAAAAAATAACGTCGTTACCTAACGCCGTTCTTTTAAACGGCGTTATTCCATACACTGGCTGTGAGTGACTGCTGCCCTTCTGCTTGTAAATGGTATGAGAGAATGGTCTGCCGGATATTTGAACGGAAGTCCCGCTGATCGGCCGGCCATTTGATCGCAACACTGATTAGCCTTGACGCTGCTGTTTTGCTTGGGGGTGTTTTTTTGCTTTTTCTTATTGTAATATTTGGTTTCTATTTGGAGAGTAATTGATTATTCATTTTTTGTGTGTTCTTTTGTCTTTATTTTATTAAGTGACAGTACATTCTTTTCATGTTTATTTTGTGTTAATTGTTTTTGGCTGGCAACCTTAACAATTAATGCTGTTTTTTTTGTATCAATTGGTTCTTTCTTTTCTTTCTAGGAGCAGGGGTGACCCAAAAGTGGGCAGGCTAGCCATCCTGTGCATGGTGAATGGAAACTCCTTTTAAGAGTGCGGTGTAGGTTTTCTTGCAGTGGATTTCACTGGAGTGTGTGCTTTGGAAGTTTTGGGCACGGTGTACTTATTGCGGGCTGATTCGAAGCCCACCGCTCAGCCTGCCCAGCTAATGGTGCGCCCCAGCTCCATGACGAGAGCCTACATTTGTTCCCTTGTCGGACCTAGTTGCTCATATACAAATTAGCTCAAATATAAATCAGTGGCCTTGTCTTCCATATCAACTATTTTACTGACCCTAGTGGTATTTTAAACTATTTATGATCAATGAATAAAGAGACTTTTCTGTATTCACGTCTCAGTGTTTTGTGATTGTGGGAAGGAGAACGAACTTGTGTGCCCTTTTATGGGTTTTTCCCCAGCTGGTTAAATGCTGGGGTGGCGTAGTCGTTATTTATTAGAGCTCTGTATGGGAGAGTGCAGCCCATCCTATATCGCTCAAATTGAGCCACTTGCTACATATACATACATCTTGTTTGGTGAAATAAAACTAATGTAGTGAATAAAAAAGAACAATGAAACTTCACAAAACAGAAACAGAAAAAAAAATGTCCTTTGACATGCACTGGGAAAAGCACAGAAATAAAGTCATATTTGAACATACCCAAACATACAGTACTTAATCTGACCTGTATATGGGAAGGACACAATAAAGAGAGTAGGAATGACATTCACTTAGACTTAGACAAATAAACAACAACTAATACATTTATTGGAAGGCATATTGAACAGCAAGTAAATATTTCCTATTTAACGAGCTAATTAATTGCTCCAGGCTGCACTCAGACCCAAATCTGCAACAGATCTAAAAGAACATTGAAAAATGTAATAACGTTTTTACGATTAGAAGAGAAGCTATAGAAGTGTGTTGTCTCTTAGGGTGAGACTTCCCGAGCATGTCCTCTGCTTACACAATTCTGTCACTTATCTGCTATCACTTCTGAAAATGTTCCTTCTTTTTGTCTGTTTTGAGCTGTTGTCAAATTACATAAAAATGGTATACATTAGCATGTTCACTTTCTCTATAATGTGGATTCATTGAAAGGCATAGCTGGGTGTTTATAGGCTGCAATCTCAAAACAGAAAATGTTTTAAAATTAATTCAAAATGGCACATTTTTAATTATAAATGCCATAACACACTTACTGAGCATTCAGGAAACCCATGACATGTACCTCATCTTATCTGAAGGAAGCACATAAGAAACAGGCACCCACAAGTGTCATATTAACTCGAATAACCACAGAGTAGTATAACGCGTTGTGGTGGATTCTGCCAAAGGGACAGAACAACATTAACTTCTTCCTAGTGGCAGAGAGAATTGTGTAGAACGAGTTTGGACGACTCCAGAAATCTCAGAGAAGATGGAGAAACGGCTGAAAGACAGTCTGGTGTTTTTTACTGTATATTTGTCCATGCTCATTTATCCAAATCACATCAGTGGCTTTAACCTGGATCTGAACAATTACACAGTCTTCTCTGGCCCTGAGGACAGCTACTTTGGTTTCTCAGTGGACTTTTATCGGTCAAGCAGCAAAAGGTGAGTGGTGCTGACCTCCACAGCAAACGTTCTGCAAATGGATTAGCTGGTTAACTAACTGCTCCAGAATCTGTTAAGCCCTTCACCCAGATATGATATTACTAATGCTACAATTATACAGTGCCGTTCAAAAGTTTGTGGTCTGTAAGATTTTGTTTTTGAAACAAGTCTCTTATGCTCACCAAGGCAGCAATATTTGACAATTCAGTAAAAACAGTAATGGTGGTGATGGCGCAGTGGATAAGACACATGCCTTTGGTGTGAGAGACCCGAGTTCGAATCCACTGTGAGACACCAATGTGTCCCTGAGCAAGACACTTAACCCCTAGTTGCTCCAGAGATGTGCGACCTCTGACATATATAGCAATTGTAAGTCGCTTTGGATAAAAGCGTCAGATAAATGAATAAATGTAAATGTGATGACAAGGCTAAATGTTCAGCAGTGATTAATTCAGAAATCATTATTATATTCTGGTTTGTTGATCAAGAAAATGTCATCATATTATCAGTGTTAAAAACAGTTGTGCTGCTTAATATTTTAGTGGAAACTTTGATCAATTTTTTGATGAATTATTTTTTGATTAATATAATTTATTTGAAATAGAAATCTTGTGTTACGTTATAATGTCTTTACTGTGCCTTTTGATCAATCGAATGCATTCCTGCTGAATAAAAACTTCCAAACTATCTCTCTCTCTCTTTCTCTCTCTCTCTCTCTCTCTCTCTCTCTCTCTCTCTCTCTCTCTCTCTCTCTCTCTCTCTCTCTCTCTCTCTTTCTGTGTGTGTGTGTGGTTCAGGTATTTATATTATAGATTCCCTACATAAGGATGGCAATACCAGACATCGTTGACCTTGTAGGGACAATTTTTGTCCCCATGATTAAAACGGCTTACAAATCATATTATATTATGGGTTTTTTAATGTAAAAATGCTGAAGGTTTTCTGTGAAAATTTCTGATTATGTATGCTCTGGTGTCCACCCTGCAGTATACGTGTGGTGGTTGGAGCACCCAGAGCAAACACCAGCCATGGGATCTCGCATGGTGGCTCTGTCTTCATGTGTGACTGGACATTAAGTGGAGAATCGTGTCAGACTTTAAACTTTGACCAAAAAGGTGAGTATAGCATCATGTAATATGAACAGGTAGGCTAAGTATGCAGTATGCAGTGTTTCCCATACATTGATTTATTTGTGTCGGCCCGCCACAAATAGATTTTAGTGCTTCCCATTCATTAAGTAGCCTAGTCTGTGGCGGCCTGGAAATATATTTAAACTTTTTATAATAACAAAAGGTCTTTTAATGTCGTGTTTTTTGCCATTGCTGTCAAACAAACTAAAATCAAAAGCGCGATAAGGCTTTGTGTCCTTATCAATTCGCAAAAGACGAAAAGTGCTGCACAAAGAGAAGTCCGCACTTCGCTCACGTGATCAGATCCACGTCTCAGTTCACAGTAAATGAATGCAGTGAACATCATCTGTGCATGTGCTGAGTTTAGCGTGCATGTGGGAATGTAATGGGAATGTAATGTAATTGTGTCTAATTATTTTCACATTTAGTTGATAATGAGACCCGTTTGTAAACTTGGTTTCGCCTAACTAAAAGCTCCACTGCAGTTTCGGTCAAATTTAAAGCTCACGTGTTTATCTCTTTCAAGTATAGAAATTAGGACAAAACTAATTATGAAAGTGTAATTCATTTTTCAATGCAATTTTTTTTTAAATATTTTTTACAATATATGGCTGTCATAGGAATAATATTATAAAATTATTATTATTATTATGTAGTGTAATTTAGTCTGAGACACTATATCACAGCTTAAAAGAGGTTTGAGTACCCTTTAAAGTTCAGGAAGGCCTACAAGTCAATGCACAGACTTTTTTCTACAATTTGCACACTGAATATGGGTTGGAGCTCTTAATTTTGAACTGTCAAAGTGCACCAGATTAATGATTTGACTTAAACATGTAAAAAAAATCAATGTCTTCATGCCCCCAGACCCCTAGAAGGACGGTCCACCCACCACAGTTTCACAAATCCTGTGGGAAACACTGCAGTATGTAATATTTGGTATCATGAAATGTGGTCATAATACAGTAAAAGTATATTTTTTTTCTTTCTTTTTTTCAATGAATGTTTCATAGCTGATGAAAACATCACATTTGGTAAAATGCTCCTAATGGCTCACAAATCAAACCAGTGGCTGGGCGCTTCAGTTCGAACCTACAAGAACTACATCTTGGTGAGTGACTGCATTTCTCAAACAGCCCTCACAAAAGCTAGTTAATAGAATTGATTTAAGCATCTTGTTTTTCTCAGCCAAAGCCATATACTTTTAAGTTTGATATAGTTTGTTATAATTGGTCATAGAATGTAAATTATTCAGGCACCTTTAAAGGGATTTCTTCCAGTAGTTTTAGGTTTGTCTTGAGCAACCCTAATTGTATTTTGCCGCCTCAAACACTGAAAGCTGACATCAGCTTTAGTGAAGATGTTTTAAACAAAACAGTAACATTTTTGTCATCTATAAATATATGATAGGCTAAAGTGAGAAATATTTGTTGTGTTTACGTTTTGGGGGGTTCACCGGTTTTAATTCGGAGTTCAAATCGAGTTTTATGTTTCATATGAGGTAGGCCTGTGCCCCACTGTTCCACTGGAACGTGCTCTTGGAAAAGGAGGAGGCCATGAATACGCCTGTTGGGAACTGCCAGCTATTGAACATGCAAACAGGAGAGTTGGCAAACTACGCCCCCTGCAGGGAAGAATATGTAGAGGCGATTTACACCAGAGGCTGTAAGACACTGAATTTACCGCGGTCGCATACAGAAATGCAGGGCTGCCAACTCTCACGCATTCACCGTGAGACTCACGCAATTGAGCCAATTCTCACGCTCTCACGCCACACCCCCGATTTCTCACGCTGAAGTGTCAACCCAGTCGGTCAAATGCCTGAAAGATAAGTTTATCTATAGATCTACCAGTTGAGCCATTCGTGATCGACTAGTTTTACCGCAAATTAGTTAAAATATCCTGTAATCTATAGCGAGCGAGCCTGCATGCGAGACAGATGTGTTGAGCTCCTAACCGCGCACGCGCACACGACGGCAGAGAGGTGATTAAGCGAGCTTGCGTGTCTTTCGCAACACAACCCAGTGGACAGTTAGACTGTATTGAAACAGTTGAGAAATAATAATATTTTTACAGTTTTCAACAATAATTGGTATTGTTGAACCCTTGCTCTTATTATATTTCTGATTTCTCAGTTTTGTCATTATTTTAGCAAATAATTTATTTTATATGTTTTGAGACAGTTTGTTTGAAGAAGTTTTAAAGAGTTAGTAAAAGAGTAAAGTAAAAGTTAAAACTTTTTTATTTAAGTAGGCATCTATTTTTTATTAAGTAGGCCTATTTATTTTGTATTAATACATAACCTTACTGTATTCATTCATAATGTATCATTATTGCGTGACATTTGTGTCAATAATCGTCAAGCACAGGGGACTTCGCGTAGTGGGAGGGGCCCCCAAATCAAATTCTGCTTAGGGCCCCCAAAAGGCTCGGACCGGCTCTGGAGACCAGACAGACAGTGTGAGTTTTTTGTGACAATTGTGAGGGAAATACACAATTTATTCCCATAAACTGTGTAGTCAGCCGTTCTCCCTCCCATCTGCACTGTGTGAATTGTGAACGCAGGCAGGTCAGTGAGTTACAGGGCGCTCCTTGTCTCCATCCAGTTTAGGCTGGTAACTAAATGCCTGTTATATAGAATTAAGTAAGCAATAGCAGAGTTGTTTGTTTTGCAGCACTGAGCAGTTATTTTACATAACTTTATCATAAAAACAGTACAAAAGCATTTCCAGATGACAAATATCTGGACATGCCTATAGTTAATGTTAATTATTGTTTTCTAAGAACAGAATGTCAATTAAAATGTTAAATGTAAAATTAAATGTAATGTAAATCTCCCAAGAAATTCTGTACAGATACCAAATACTTTGACAATCAATATATACTTATTACACTTCTGCTAATGCAAGGATTTTGTGTTTGTATTTTTCCCCACACCAAGCCACGCCCCTCAATAAGCCCCTCCCCCATAACCCAAGCCCCGCCCCCCAAAATCTCACTCTAAGCTGAACTCAAAAGTTGGCAGCCCTGGAAATGTAACTGCTTACAGCAGTGTTTATAAATTTGAAATACAAATACATTGTTATTACTCTTCAATGCCTAATGTTTCAAGCACTCTGACCGTGTACAGATCCTGACAGGCGTTACTGTGAGGCTGGATTTACCACAGACATCACCGAGGTTCCTTGTTTCTCTTTTCTGGCTGTGGAGTAATTTGCAATAGGCTTTAAATAGTTTAACGTCTCTTTTTTTCCCCTGCATGTAAAAACTGCTTGCGTCGGTTGTGACAGAATGGCAGGGTGATACTTGGTGCACCAGGAGGCTATTATTTTCAAGGTAAAATATGTTAGAAAAGCTTGAAGTCCACTATTCATGGCCGTCTTCACTGTGATTCAAACATTTGAAAAGAGGGTTTTTGTTTTAAATGTGCATTGACTGAGCACTTTCAGTGGGAGTTAGCCTATGTCTTTGTGAATTGTGCTGTGACTATAGCTATGTAAACGTTTCTCTTTACTTCAGGTCAGATCATCACTGCATCTCTTGAAAACATCATGAGCAGTGGCAGCACGTTCTCTCCGAAGCATTCAGTGAACGGTGAGACCAAAACACCACAAAGGCGTGACTACTACGACCTGTATCTGGGTAAGATGTGACAGCTGTCATTCAAAACAGAGACCAAAAAAAGCTACACTCTTAGGGAGGAGGAGGGGGGGGGGGGGGGTTATGTTTTAAATGATTGCCTAATACTTTCATGTTTAATGGGTTATCTAAATTGTTCTAGTGATAAAGTATGTTTACGAGCTGTGTCATTCATTTAATTCCATTCAAATTGAAAATGAATTAAAACAAAATTAATTTAGAACTAAATCCATAAAATGCTCCCATGATGGGAACTCCTAAAGGTTCTATATATGAAGCACCAGACAAAACACTTTAAGGTTCCACATAGAACCTTTTCTTCTAAGAGTGTAAAAATAACAATGATAAAGTGATAATGAAAATCTGAAACATCCATTGAGGATTTTTCCTTTTTCTGCCTCATAGGATACTCTGTTGCTGCTGGGCAGTTTAATAAAGACCATGTCCCAGGTGATGATCATAATTGACAAGCTATCTTAATTTTTACACATTTAATTGAAACAGCAGCTTTTAGAAAAATGCTAAATGAGTGGTCTGCAGCTCTTATCAGCAATATTTTTTTACGACTTTTCTTATTTTAAAATGATTGCAGATTATGTTGTTGGCGTCCCAAACGATCTGCACACTGCAGGCTCTGTAAGTGCTCTTACACTGTTATGTGGATGATTATGCACTCCAATTAAGCTCTTGCACAGTTACACAATTGATTACGTAATTAGTCAATGTAATCAGTCATTTTACTGTTTCTTTTTTTTTTTAGGTCAAAATAATAAACGGAGCAACAGTGCCCCTGCAAATCATGAAGGCGATTAGTGGCACTCAGGTTTAACTTGTATCTTAAATTTGATTTGGATATGAACCAGTACATTGTGTTTAAATTGTTCTCAATAGTGTCTATTATTATAGGCTATACACTAAGGTTCAAATATTTGGGGTCAGATATTTTGGTAACACTTTACAACAAGGTTCATTAGTTAACATTAGTTAACTACCTTGGTTAACATGAACTAAGAATGAACAATACTTCTTCAGCATTTATTAATCTTAGTTCATATTAATTTAAACATTTACTAATACGTTATTAAAATCAAAGGATGTATTTGTTAACATCAGTTAATGCACTGTGAACTAACATGAACAAACAATAAACGGCTGTATTTTTACTAACTAACATTAACAAAGATTAATAAATACTGTAACAAATGTATTGCTCACTGTTAGTTCATTTTAGTTCATACATTAACTAATGTTAACTAATGAACCTTGTAAAGTGTTACCGATATTTTTTTATTTTATTTTATTAATTATTTTATTTAACAAGGAGTTAATAAATTAAGGTGATAGTAAAGAAAGACTGTTATAATGTATTAAATTTAACAAGACCCCCCAGGCCTACATGTAATTTTACTGTACTTACTACACTGTAAGATTATTGTTGACAGTAAAGAGTACAAATTACCTTATAATTTACAGTGAAAATCGTTCTTATATTTAACAAGACAATTCATTGTCTTTAACGATAAAATATTGTTAAAATTATTATATGCTATTCAAAGTTTTGAGTAAGTAATATATATATACAAAGAATTCTGAAGTCATAAGCATATTATCAATTAAACATTGATGATAATAATAAATGTTATTTTATTAATAAATGTATAAATATCTCAGTTATGAAAGTTAATATTTTAAATTGTAATAATATTTCATAGTATTATTGTTTTTACTGTATTTTTGATCATTTAAATGCAGACTGGGTGAGGATAAGAGACTTCTTTCAAAATCATTAAAAATCGCCCCAGACTTATGAACGGTAGTGTATGTTGTCAAGGTAAGGACACACACTAAAGATTTAAATGCAGTAATTTTACTTTTTGTCTTGTCTTCTGTAGATAGCATCTTATTTTGGGCATTCTGTGGCAGTAACAGATATCAACAGAGATGGGTAAATGATTCCTGCAGAGACTAATTTCTTGTTCTAGTAGTTCATGAGAATTTATTAAATGTTTTTTTAAATTAATTACATCCTCTCTGTGGTCATCAGGTGCGATGACATCCTGATTGGAGCACCGCTTTTTATGGAGCAGCTGTCCACTCAGAAATTTCGAGAAGTAGGACAAGTATATGTTTACCTGCAAAGAGAGGGCTTCTCCTTCTCCTCCAGGCCCAACCAGATGCTGACAGGGACATATGCCTATGGGCGTTTTGGCAGCTCCATCGCCCCTTTGGGAGACATCGACCATGATGGGTTTAATGGTGAGGACTGCTCTGACATTACAAAGTAGTATTTGCTGTGAAAATAGCATGCAGTTTAATATTTGTATTGATAATTCTGAGCACAAACCATCTGTGTATAAGTACAAGAAGAAAATGAACAGCCAAATGGGTTTAATGTAGACAAAGAGTATGAATCATGAGGGAAAATCTGGCAGTTGCCCCAGGCATTGCTCTTTACAGATGGCACTGTGGTTGCTGTTATACAAAATTGCATTCATCACCATCAGAATCTTTTTTTCTAATTACAATCAAATTAATCTTGTTACTTAATAACAGCAAGAGCTCAAGCCATATCATTTTTCTCAGTTATGAAAGCAGCATCTGAAAGTGATTTGACCTATATTCTTCAGCTGTGACAGTATAATTCAGATTCATGCTGAGTTTCAGTGCTTATCTTAAGGAAAGCATTGTCATGAGATTACACTGTAAAAAAAAAAAAAAATCCTGTTCATCATAATAGTATATGACAATGTGTCAGGTATCATGGGAAGAAAAATTAAGCATATGTATTTAGATAAAATATAATCAGAAGTGATGCATCACACAGGGTCTTCTGGTAACATCATTTTACAGTTTTATAGCTTTTTCCCAGAAAAAGGTTGGATTTTTTTAATGTTTTCCAAAAATATATATTTTTTATGCTCACCATGGCTGCATGTATGTGATTTGGAAAAAAAACTGTAATATTATGAAATATTATTACAGCAAAATAATTGTTTTCTTTTTTTATATATATTTTGAAATGCAATTTATTCCTGTGATGGTGAAGCTGAATTTTCAGCATAATTTCTCCAGTCTTCTTCAGTGTCACATGATCCTTCGGAAATCATTCTATTATGATAAAATGTACTGCTCAAGAAACATTTCTTATTATTATAAGTGATTGTGATGCTTAATATTTTTGTGGAAACTGTGATTGTCAGGTGTTGGTGCACAACGTAGGAGAATAAACAGAAAGTCTTTATTGAACGATCTAATAATGAATAATGGAAAAAACACAACGAGGAAAACAACACAATGACAGTAAAACAGAATTATACATAACAGAACTGTTACAGTGATAGATTTTGCAGGTTTCTTTAATGAATATATAAAGTTCAAAAGAACAACATTATAAACAGCATTGTAAAAAACTTTACAGACACTTTTAATGGGTCTTTGCTGAATAAAGTTTAAAATGTATTTTTTTTTTAAATCTTACTGACCCCAAAATAAGTGTATAATAACACCATTTTAAAAATATTTTATTATAAAAGCACATGTATAGTCTTTTTAAATATCATACAGATTTGATAAGGTCATTTGTAACTTTTACCGTCAAAAATACATAATTTTACTGTGTAGTAGTAAGTAAAATTGCAGTATAGTATGATAACAGTTAACCCAGTTAACCATTTTTTTTAATTTATCCTTTTTATAGATGCTGGACGATTGTATATTTATTGCACGTTTAAATAAAAATAAACTGCAAATGTGATTTAATATTCCTTTATTCTCAGATGTAGCTGTGGGGGCACCTGGCTCTGGTGAAGGAGGTCAGGTGTTTATTTACCTGGGTCAGGGTGATGGTTTGACCACCCAGTTTGTTCAAGTCATCGAGAGCCCGTTTCACACCCTCATAGATCCTCCAATGTTTGGCTTCAGCATGAGAGGAGGGATAGATATCGATGAAAATGGATATCCAGGTATGTGATATATTACTTGAATATATTTTAAGAGCATTCATGCATTATTTCTTCTCTGGAACACAAAAAGAGGAACAATAAAGAATACAATGACATGCATACAATGAAAGCCACCATACTAGCATGTAAACACTTTCATTCTATGGATCCCCTTTTGTGTTCAATGGAAGAATTGGTGGTACAGGTTTGGAACATCATGACGTTGACAGATTTCATTTTTGGGGTGAACTTAATTCAATACTCACATTTACTTTATTTATTTATTTTTAAATAACGCCTCAAATAATTTGTCAGCAAATTGTAGCTCTTTTCACCTAGCTCAGAACCTTGAGATCACTGTTCACCTCCCATTATCTTCCATTAAAATCTGACCAGAAAACCTCAGCTGGGTCACTGCATCAAAATACCATAACCTTCCCAGCAACCCCTTATAGCATCTACGAGTCATGCTTGGAGTACAAAACCCATAAATAACCGGAGGATAGAGCCAACAAAAAGCTTCAGAGACTGTCCTCAAAGTTCGAATGTCTGTTGTGAACAATCTCAACTAACAGCCTTTTCCCACAATCCCTTGGGAGGAGTAAAGAGCTGTCTGGGATTCACCATGAGACAGGAATGCTTTAGTCAGAGCCACAGCCCTCTTAGTATAGATGTAAATGGAAAAGGGCTCTGACACTGGGGTCCAGTGTGGACATGGCAATGCTTTTTGACACAAAGCACCTCGATCTCTTAAGAGGGACTCTCGGTGTTCTTAGGTCACTTATCACAGACAAAGTAGTCCCCACACTTCTTTTCCTCCAATTTAACATGGCTGTCTTGTAGCTCAATCTCTGTTTCACTCACTTTGTGGTGTTTGCTGATAGAGAGATTTCTAAATGTCAAGGCATATAATATGCTTTGTTTTTTTCCCTTTAGATCTCATCATTGGTGCTTGGGGTGCGAGCAAAGTAGCAACCTACAGGTGCTAATTTAAAATCATCTGAATTACTGCAGTGCAAACACCCTTAAATTCTTTATTGTAATCAAATAGCCATATACGCTTCATCCTTTTCAGTATATTTGTCCAAAGCAGAGGTTCTCAACTGGTTTTGCTTCAGGACCCGGAATTTACATTAGACATCAAATGGTGACCCAACACAGTGCCAAAATTACTTTATCATATGAAAGTAAACCAAAGAATTTCCTTTTATCCTTGAATCCTTTATTACATTATTTTATGAATGATATAATATGCATTAAGCAGTTTTTCCGTGCTGGGGGTCGTGACCAACCAATTGAGAACAACTGCTATGATTCTGTGTGTTGGATCAGTAACGCGTTTGACTTTATTAGAGCACAGGCTGTTGTGAGGACACAGGCTCGACTCTTATTCGTCCCTGAACTTTTGAACCCTGAAGACAAATTGTGTCGACTCCACCAGAGCAGCACCTTCATTACTTGGTAATGTTTCTGAACTTAGTACAAGAGACAGCTTTACTGTGTCATCATGATTCAAGAGGCTGGCATTCAAAATGCTTGACTAGTCAGCTATAAAAAAGCTTTTCAAGGATTAGAAGAGTTCGTGTGATGAATGGTACACTACAGTGAGCTATTGATACACCCACATCCTTTTTAGAAGTAATCTCAATACATCAAGGACTTCCATTGATCAGTAATCCATATTTTCTGCATGCTTTGAATATCAACCCACATGGTTGTGGTACTTCTATAGGATATCTATCATCTCCACTTGTTTTCTCTTTTTCCTTAGCTTTAGAATTATGGCATGCATCAGTGTATCTGGACACAGAATTCCTGAGGAGATTGGTATGTAATAATTTAATAATTTGAAATATGAAATAATTTAGTAATAAACAGAGCGTTTCATCAGCAGGAAAACATCGTTCTAAAAGTGATTCCAATGATATTGTTTCTCATTGCCGTTAAATAGTTCTGGTTTGAACTCTGTTATTCATTTTACATTTAAAACTATTTTTAAAAATATATCTTTATTGTTATAGTTATCGTCCTCATTGGTGTGAACAAGCCTTTATTAGAGTTTTGAATTCAGCTTATTGTACATATAAAGAGTCTTAAAAGAAAATATTTAGGGTGCATTAAAGGTGTTATCAAAGATTTGCAGGTTTTTCAGCTTTTTGCAAAATATTTCCTCTAGTGCTCAACACAGAGCTTCAGCTGGACAGGATGAAGCAGAGCATGGCCAGACGAACACTCCTACTGGACTCCAACCAGCCATACGCTTACTTCCAAATCTCTGTGGAAAGAAACTCAGGAGAAGTCTGTAGGAACTTCACGGCCTACCTACTGGTGTGTTTCATCAAAATGTTGATGCTCTGGAAATGTGACCTGTGGATAAGAAGCACAAGTCCTGTGACCTTCATGTTGCAGAACACTGAGGGCCTTATTTTAACGATCTGAAACGCAAGTGTCAAAGCGCAAAGCGCAAGTAACTTTGTGGGCGGATCCCGGCGCTGTTGCTATTTTCCCGGCGGGATAAATGCCTCTTGCGCCTGGCGCAAATCTAAAAGGGGTTGGTCTGGAGTAGCTTCATTATTCATAGGTGTGGTTTGGGCGTAACGTGAAATAAACCAATCAGAGCGTCATCTCACATTCCCTTTAAGAGCAGGCGCGGTTGTTCTAAAGCGGATTCCTATTATAACGGCGGATTTGCCAGGCGCGCGCCAGGAGCGGTTCACAGCCGAGGAGAGCAACGTTCTCGTCAGGGCCGTAAAACACAGAGAAGTGACATTGGGGATGGAGAAACCCACACAAATTAACTTCTGTTAAACAGGCGTATGATAATTTGGCTAAATGTGTAAGCTACATGTATGCTTTTGTAATAAATTGTCTATCTATCTATCTATCTATCTATCTATCTATCTATCTATCTATCTATCTATCTATCGTAATAATGTATGATTTGCAAAAATGAAAACTGCTGTTTAGATGAGAGAAGCAACGTGTATGCGCGTTGTGCACACGCTACATTGATTATGGCCAAGCATGCGCGCTTAAAATAGCATAATGAACAACGCGCAACACGCCACTGACTTTAGACTAGGTTTTTTCTGGTCAGTGGCACAATTGTTTTATAGAACAGCAAAATAGCATGAGGGAAAGTTTGCGCCGGAACACGCCTCCTCTTTGCGCTGAACCGCCCCGGGGAGCGCAAGTGTATTTCTTAGTTAACCGACGTGTGTCTGTGGAGGGAAAAGTCCGCTTTGCGCGGGTGCAAAATAGGAATGATACATGCGTCAGTGTACAAAGTCATTTGCGCCGAGTGCAAGATAGGGCCCTGAATGTTCTAAGTGCTTTTGAGAGTACAAAAACTATACACACATAAATTAGTTCTAGTTTCCTCAGAGTACCAATAAAAAAGAAAAGCAACAAGGCTTTTGTGCTCCCAGCTGCACATGTGATCTATCTGCAATCAAATCTCTTAATGATCCTTTTTTTGTCAAGTAAAATGCAAGAAGATATTAATGTTGCAGTTATCATTCATCTCAATCCTTTCCTTTTAAGCCTGAGTTTAAGGACAAGCTAAGTCCAATCTTCTTCTCGATGAACTACAGTCTGGCTGAATCCCAAGATGCAGTGCTGCATGGACAAAGTGTCGCTTTTGGACAGGTGAAGGCTGGAACATATTGTTTTTGTTGTTACAATGGCACATATTTATTAACATTAACCTGTTAAAACTTTTTGTTGCGTCTAGGCACGGATAATACTAAACTGTGGTCATGATAACATCTGTATTCCAGACCTGAAGCTGAAAGCAGAGGCGTAAGTTCCTTTGTTAGCTACAGTATAGATTTGAAATGGTTACAGACATTTATCTTAAGCAAACCTTTATCTAAAACAGGTCAACAGAACCAATCCTGATCGGCGATGAGAATCCAGCACTGCTGATTATCGAGGCCGAAAATCAGGGAGAGAGAGCATACGAGACTGAGCTATATATCAGCCCGCCAGCCCACACACACTATCAGGGTGTTGTGAGCAACCGGGAGGTGACGGTTTAGTCATTTTTCTGTTTGTTGTTGATAGCTACATTAAAGGGATAGTTTACCCAAAAATGAAAATTATGTTATCATTTACCTAAATTATAATAACATCTACATTTACTTAGCCTCAAGTTGTTCCAAACCTGTGTGAGTTTCTTACTTCTGCTGAACACAAAAGAAGATATTTTGAAGAATGTCGGTAACCAAACAGTTGATGGGCCTCATTGACGTCAATAATATTTTTTTTCCATACTTATGGAAGTCAATGGGGACTTAACCGGCTATGGACTAGGCTGATAAGGCAGTGGCACTTTATTTATAATCATATTATATTAATCATATTAATTGTATTATTTATTAATATTGTGAATTAGCTCATTTTTATATTTTTTAGTTTTCATTTAAAGGAACACTCCGACTTTTTGGGACTTTAGCCTATTCACCTTATCCCCCAGAGTTAGATAAGTCCATACATACCTTTTTCATCTCCGTGCGTGCTATAAGTCTGTTTGACGCACCCACCGCTAGCCTAGCTTAGCACAAAGACTGGATGTAAATGGTTGTAGCTAGCATACTAATCCAAATAAGTGACAAAATAACGCAAACATTTTCCTATTTACATGTTGTGATTTGTATAGTCACATAGTGTACAAAAAACAAAGTCACATGAGACAAAGACATATTTTAACCGTATAAATACTGGGAACTTTTCTCTGAAGGCGAAGCACTGCTACTTGGGCGGAGTGATAACCGCAGCACCTGAGACGAGCCGTGGTGAGGAGCAGAGAGCGCGTCTCAGGTGCTGCGGTTATCACTCCGCCCAAGTAGCAGTGCTTCGCCTTCAGAGAATATAGTTCCCAGTATTTATACGGTTAAAATATGTCTTTGTCTCATGTGACTTTGTTTTTTGTACACTATGTGACTATACAAATCACAACATGTAAATAGGAAAATGTTTGCGTTATTTTGTCACTTATTTGGATTAGTATGCTAGCTGCAACCATTTACATCCAGTCTTTGTGCTAAGCTAGGCTAGCGGTGGGTGCGTCAAACAGACTTATAGCACGCACGGAGATGAAAAAGGTATGTATGGACTTATCTAACTCTGGGGGATAAAGTGAATAGGCTAAAGTCCCAAAAAGTCGGAGTGTTCCTTTAAGTTTTTGCAATTTGACGTGCTTTTGTCATTTTCATTTCTATTTAGCTTTATTTTATTTCAGTTGTAAATTTAGTAATGTTATTATTTCAACGTAAACTTATTTATAGGGATGAACAATATATCGGCCATCATATCAGTATCAGACAATATGTTCATTTTTAATTTTATCGTTATCGACCTGATAAGAAAATTTGGATAATATATTAAAGCGATAGTTCACCCAAAAATGAAAATTAGCCCACGATTTACTCATCCTGAAGTTATCCTAGGTGTATATGACATTCTTCTTTCAGACGAATACAATCGGAGTTATATAAAAAAAATTTCTGGCTCTTCCCAGCTTTATAAATGGAGTGAATGGGTGTCTGTCTTTGGAAGTCCATCGAAGCGCATCCATCTATGATAAAAGTGCTCCAGGCGTCTCCGGGGGTTAATAAAGGCCTTCTGAAGCGAAGCGATGCTTTCGTGTAAGAAAAATATCCATATTTAAAACTTTATCGACTTAAATAACTAGCTTCTGGCAGAAAGCCTACCCTACGCATCGATTTACGCCAAAAGAGTAACACTTGAACTTGACGCACGTAATGACGACAATTGACGCCTCTCGCAGTTCAAACAAACAGGACTGGTCAACCGCGTTCGTCATTACGTTGTGCGTCAAGTTTAAGGGTACCCCCGGAGACGCCTGGAGCACTTTTATCATGAATAGATGTGCTTTGATGAACTTCCAAAGACAGACACCACTCCATTTATAGAGCTTGGAAAAGCCAGGACATTTTTTAATATAACTCCGATTGTATTCGTCTGAAAGAAGAATGTCATATACACCTAGGATGGCTTCAAGGTGAGTAAATCATGGGCTAATTTTTAACTATCGCTTTAAAGCTGATAAATAATGGATTATTTCCTTCAGCTTAGACAATTTAGATGCACACTGTTCGCCATAAGGGTTTTGAATTGCTTGAAATGTGATTGGAATCACTTCAAAAAAGGAAGAAAGTTAAGTGCAACATGTGCTGTCATATAGATGTAACCGATTAGGTGGCTGTAATAAAGCGTACGATAGAGGAGATACTATAGGAGACTTTAATCCAATACTTAAACAAGAAAACATACAATCACAGAAAACTGAAATAATGCTAGACATGGGACTGACTGAAACAGAGGGCTTAAATGCATGGGCAAATGAGATAATAGAAAAGACACACCTGAACAGAATACTCAAATCAATTAGTAACCATAGTGACAAATAGGGAGAGAATGGAGAACTGTCATAATTACCCAACAAGAGGGATGAACAAAGAAACTCAAACATGAACTGAACAGAAAAAAAAAAACAAATCAAAACACAAACTGAAAACATGACAATAGTCTGTCATATAGGCTACATATAATGAGAACATTATAAATGTGTGCTTGGGACATAGATTTAATGGTGAGACTTTTGTTTTTGTAATCAGGCTCTCAAACATTATGTAAAAAATTGGATCTGCCAATATATCGGTTATCGGCTTTGAAATACGAAAAATTATCGGTTATCAATATTGGCCAAGATTTTCATATCGGTGCATCCCAGCTTATTTATTTCAGTTAGTTGTCATACCAACATTTCTAATTTTGTTTAAGTTTTTTTTTTTAAGTTTAAGATTTTCCCCTTATATTGATATTTTCTTTTATTCTTTATTTCAATAAACGAAACCCATTGTTTTAGTTAACTATAACAACACTGGTACAAGGTTTGTTGGAACTCAAATGGTACAGATAGTCCATTTGGTACAGATAGTATATAGTCTTTACGAAAACAAGATCTCCAAATTGATCACATTTTTAAGATGTGATCACATTCTTCCACTGGCCAGACAACTAGATCAAGCCTAGCAAATGATATCTGACTGTCCCCTTTCTGTCAGCCCACTTATTTTATTTCCATGCGAACAGTATTATTGCTGAGTTGTCACATAAGGTATAAAATGTGTTTTGCAGGACTTCAGTCACTTGGTGTGCGGTCAGAAGAAGGAGAATGGCTCAGTCATTGTGGTTTGTGATCTGGGAAACCCCATGGAGGGCGGACATCAGGTCAGGGTGACATAATCAACATAATAACCCACCTCAAATCATTTGACCATTCATGACAAGCCTGTTGTAAAACATTTTGCTCGGTTGTTTTCTCTCATTTAGCTGAAAGCTGGTCTTTACTTCAGCATGGGTGGTCTGGAACAAGTGGAGAACCACATCACATTCCAAATGCAAATACGAAGGTGTGAACATCTACACACACACACACACACACAACATCTGTGTGTTAGCAAAACAAAACAGAAAAAAAAATGTCTCTTTTTTTTTTTTTGCTAGCTTGTCTGCTCCATACTTTCTGGTACGGTTTGCCCATGATGACAATGATTATTATCTTCTGTTTCTTCTTCTTGGTCTCTCTTATTATTTTCAGTAAGAACAGCCAGAAACCAGACAGTAACCTGGTCCAATTGCAGGTTAATGTTACTGCTGCAGCTTCCCTGGAAATGCGTGGGTTAGTTCTACTGTCATTTTCTCGTACTGTCGTACTGTATCATTTTATTTCCCCCATTTCAAAAAAGCACAAAACAGAAGTGAGATAATGATTTGATAGAAGGCTTTGATAGAAGACTTTAGCATAACTATATGTTAAAGTATAAATGTATTATATTATATAGTATTATATATATATAAACCATTCACAAGTCTGTTTTTTATGGAAATAATTAAATACTTTTTGTTCAGCAATGAAGCATTTAATTGATCAAAAGTGACAGTAATGAAATGTATAATGTTCTAAAAAAAAAAGATTCAAATAAATGCTGTTCTTTTTAACTTGCTATAAATCAAAGAATTTTGTCAATTATAAATGTATTAGTTTCCACAAAATATTATGTTGATTTCTGAAGTATCATGTGACACTGAAGACTGGAGTAATGGCTGCTCAAAATACAGCTTTGCCATCACAGGAAGAAATGCATTTTAAAATGTATTAAAATAGAAAACAGTTATTTTAAATTATAATATTATTTCACAATATTGCTGTTTTTAACTGTATTTGTTATGCAATAAATGCAGACTGGGTGAGCGTAAAAGACGTATATTAAAAACATTAAAAAATCTTACGGACCCAAACTTTTTAACGCTAGTGTATAAAATCAATTGTATTAACATCTTCACGACAGTTGCTAAATTTCCTTTTTGAATATTCTTTCTCACTCTTCTGAAAGTAAAACTGGTTTGGTTCATGTTTGAATGACCATTTAATTTCTTCATTACAGAATCTCTTCTCCTGCTGACTGTGTTCTGCCTATTACTAAATGGGAGCCAAAGGATTATCCAGAAGAGTTGAATGAAGTAGGCCCACTCGTAGAGCATGTATATGAGGTAATATTCTCAGTCTAGGTCTAGGATTATTGTTAACACCTTCACTTAAGCGGTTTTACCATACTTATGCACAAGTTTCTAATTTCCTGTCTCAGCTAAGGAACATGGGCCCCAGTCCGGTGAATGCAAAGCTTACACTGGAGTTTCCTGTTTCACAAAATGAGTCCTATCTGCTATATGTATTTGCTAATGCCTCCCAAGAGCTCATCTCCTGTCAAACAGACTACTCCAACATCGACCCACGTGGGGTGAGAGTGCCCCCTACTGACTATGATTTTGAAACTAAACCCTCTGAAGTCACTTGTCTGCAAATATAATATTAACACACTTTATTATACTATTGAAGAAGCACAGCAATATCTGTAAACAAAGATTTACTGTGGTGGTACTATGGTACAGTGTTACCATGTACATAACATTTAATAACTGATGATGACACTGAATGATATCCATATAATCATATACATTGGTATCTATATGTCACTCCAAGGTACTGGTTAATGTGATTCCAACAAGTGCAACATGTTCGTGGATCAACATCAACCAACCCTCTGATTTTAGGGATAACTTATGGGTAGGGTTAGGTTTAGAGGTAGGGATGGGGTTAGGACTAAATTTTCAGACATGAAATGTTGTTCCAGGATTAACAAAATATTTTGACCCAGGAACATGTCCTACTTGCCAAATCACAGTGACCCCAAGGTACTGTGGCATAACCACGGTACCATGCACAAATTATCATGATATATTTTTGTGATACCATTTATATATTCAATGGCAATAAACATTACACTACCTATTTATCACAGTTAGTGAAGCTGGAGTCCTCCAACGTCACCGTAGGCCAGGTTCATCATTTCAACAAACGCGACCTGACGCAAAAAACAGAATATGAGCAGCAGTGGCAACATGCAGTCCATGTGGTACAGAACCTTCTATTACATCATTATATATATATATATATAATATATATATTATATATTATATACACCGTTCAAACGTTTGGGGTTGTAGTTTTTTTTTTTTAAATTGAAAGGGATCTTTTATGCTCTCCAAGGCTGCATTTATATGATCAAATATATTATAAGTATTTTCCATTCTTCAGTGTCACGTGATTCTTCGTAAATGATTCTAATTTGCTGATTTGGTGCTCAAGAAAAATTTATTATTATAAACAATGTGCTGCTTCATATTTTTGTAGAACCTATGGTACTTTTTTCAGGATTTTTGGACGAATAGAAAGTTCACAAGAACAGCATTTAATTCAATTGAAATTGATTTTTGTAATAATGTAACAAAAAAGTGTTACAGTCACTTTTGATTAATTGAATGCATCCTTACTGAATAAAGTATTAGTTAAAAAAAAAAAAACTTAGAAAAAGAACCCAAACTTTTAAACGATATTTTATTTAATTTTTATTTTATTTTACAGTAATGTTGTGATTCTTCTTTACCAGTAGAGCTGCTTATTCATTTAGATTTAGATTTTGATATTTCTAAATTTAGGCATTTATCATGTGCAAATGCCTCCATCTTTCAGGACTCAAAAAAATATATTTTAAAATTGTAATGAATTTATTGTTAAATATTGTTATATCTCTCACTGTGCAGAACTGCTCTAGTGGTGACCAATGTCTTCTGTTTGAGTGTGAGGCTGCGGGACTGCAGAGAGATGAGAGAGCCATTGTAAGAGTGATGAGCAGGCTGTGGGTACAAACCTTCTTAAAGGTGGGCCACACTTTAAAGATCAAACTCTAAACATTTAAAGAAGTTGTCTAATAATAATACCCCTTTCGCTCCCTGTTTGTATCTGTTTTCTGCTTAGAGACCATATGTAAATTACGTTCTTCACTCCACGGCTCACTATGAGGTGACAGATGTGCCCTCAAAAATCCAGCCAGTTGTCCTGCCCAGAGGAAATGCACAGGTGAGACGTCAGTTCTTTGGGTTGTATCACGTAATATATGCAACTCCTCTTAAACCCCCTCATAAACTCCATCTAGACACATACAAATATAGTGTGGAGACGGCCAGATGGACAAGAGGAGGTTCCTGTGTGGTGGATAGTAGTGTCAGTCATCGCTGGACTCCTGCTATTGGCTGCCCTGAGCACCATCTTCTGGAAGGTATTTCTATATGTTGAACAGCAGAGGGTGCTTTGTCTCATATAGGCCTCCGGGCCAACAACAAACTAAGCTTATTACTGTAAAACTAACACAAATGTGATACCACATAAATCTCCATCCATGTTAACATACAACGTTGTTTTAAGGTGGGATTTTTCAAGCGTAACCGTCCTCCATGTGACGATGATGATGATGATGATGACACGCAGCAACTGAGTGGTGAACAGAACGAGATGTCAGACTGCAAATCTTGAGATTTATTTATGCTGTATAGACCTTATGTAGCCCCGCCCCTTTTCAGCGCTGCGCTCGTTGTCTTTTGTCTTCCGGTCTGTATTTTCACAGTGATCTTGCGTATTTATGAATGAACGGCTCGTTTTAAAATCTTCCCGGTCCACTGACATTTGTTAAGACATCTGCTTTAAACATTACAATCCTCATGATAACTTTTGTTAACTTTACATTAAGTAAATCCACTTTAAAAGTGAATTACTCCTGGGCAGCGATGCCATAGAGATATCGACCACAAAAACGGAAGTTCAAAGACAATATAAAGATGGCAGCGCCCCTGTTTCACTGGCGCATAAGGTCTATAGCTTATTAAAGTTTGTTTGCTCTGTTATATTTATATTCTTTCTGCAGTTTTATTAAACATGTATAATAGTGGTTTGTATGGAGTTGCAGGCATTAGGTGACCAGCCCAGCATGTACTAGATATCATCTTTAGGCAGAAATAGGAGAAATAGGCGAAAATATATATATTTTTTTTAAATTAGCATTGTCTCCAGCCCTTGTTAACATTCCTAGTATTTCAAGCAGGTGATGATTATCAGTAGAGATCACTGAGCTGTAGAACTGGTCTATGAACATTGAGCCTTTTTAATACAACCAATGTAAATAGTCGCATTCATTTAATCTCATTACTATTTGCACAGAAATTCATTATGCATATACTTCATAAATAATGCTTGTTGACTTTCATCAATCATTGTAAGTCATTTCATTTCTAGTGTTTTTTTTTTTTGTTTTTTCATTTTCAGTCAATAAAATGTCTTGTCTGCACATGTGCAACTACGCAGAACGTTATTTCACCCAATCCTGGAACAACGTTCCAATCAACAAATCAGATTTAATAGACATGTATGTTTACAGTTTATGTCAAGTTTAGGCTTACAAACAGGTTTTGGTGCTTCTACATCAATGTAATTCACCTGTCATTTCCCTCTGATTTTAGAGATAACTTATGGGTTGAGTTAGGTTTAAGGTATAGGGATACGGTTATTACATTTTCGGACAGGAATGTTGTTCCAGGATCAACACAATAAGTTGACCTAGGAACGCGTCTAACTCAGGATGTGCATGTAACTACAATGCTTTGAGTAACGAATTAAACGTGTTTTTTGCGTGCAAAGTTTCAGGGTGTGAGTACATTTACACGACCAGTGAGGTGAAATATTGTGAACAGAGTAGAAGTAATATGAATAAAAACCACCTCTTAAAAGTGCACTAAGTAGTTTAGCTAAAGCCATTGTCTGCCATCTTTACCTTGTGAGTGATTTTAATCATATTTATCAAATGCTCTGTTAATTTATGTATGTGTAAGTGTAAAACTTTATAAATTATCAAATAAAAAGTCAAGTCACCTTCATTTATACAATGTATCATACAATACAGATTGTTTCAGAGCAGTTTTATGAAAAAGATGCATCTCGGCTAACTGTTGTTCATCTGACGTTATAGTTCAGTGTTGATTCAGTTGCATTGTAAAGATCATCAGTTATTAAATTAGTTCCTTTAATATATAAAGCAGTTCTGCAAAAATGATGTCATCATCGTCCAGTTCAGTTCATAGCAGCATCAGTACATTCAGATAATATTGTTGAATATTAACGTTTAATCCCACCGGTCACAATTGTGACCGCATCTTTTTTCTTATTTCTGGAAGCACTAAAAATGTTGTTATTGACTTTAGGCAAGAAATTCAACTTTTAAATGATAAGATAGATTGTCTTGATTAATATCTATTAATATCATGTAACTAGTGTGAAAGGTCACATGACCAGATCAGTTTACTTCCTGCTTGCACATATAGAAGAAGAAGTCTTCATCAGACTACTACAAAAAGTAGTAGGCCTATGTAAAACATCTTAATTAACAGATAGAACTATCATATTTTGTACATATATTCTTTAAAGGGTCTACTACTGATATATTTTGAGAATTATACTCCTGCATATATTTTGCTCGTAAGACTAAATTTGTTAACGGTCACAATTGTCTCGGCAAAGGAGAAGTGCTCACTAACACAGATTTATACAGATTTGTGAACAATATTTGAGAGAAATAGGCCTTTTGTGTACATACATTTACATTTACTCATTTAGCTGACGCTTTTATCAAAAGCGACTTACAATTGCCATATAGCCTATGTCAGAGGTCGCACGCCTCTGGACCAACTAGGGGTTAAGTGTCTTGCTCAGGGACACATTGGTGTCTCGCAGTGGATTCGAACCCGGGTCTCTCACACCAAAGGCATAGAAAAGGTCTTAGATCTTTTGAGTTCAGCTCATGAAAAATGGGGGCAAAAACAAAAGTGTTGCGTTTAGAATTTTGTTCAGTGTAGTTACCCAGGTAGCAAACAGACGTTGGGCCAACGTCAATATCGGTTGGTTACGTTGGCCCAACCTATACGACCGAAATACAACGTTGGGCCAACATTGGCATGGTCAGCTGCGATGGCCAACCTATACGCCCGAAATACAACGTTGGGCCAACATTGGCATGGTCAGCTGCAATGGCCCACACTTCCCTCAAATAGAAGCATGCAGCATTTCATGTTTTACCATTCTTCCCAGTAAACATGGGGAAAAGAGTGTCTGGCTCCTTTTTATGACGTTGTTTCCAACCATAGGCCTACCATAAATGCATTTAATTAAATTATACTACTATTTTTCACAGACATCTTTTTACTTTAAGCTAGGGGTAAAAGCAATTTACACTTACCAGGAGTAGGCTAGGCTTTAGCAAAAATAACTATTGACTAATGTCAAAAGTTTTTTTATTTTTTTATTTTATTATTGTGACTGCGTTTGTTATATTATGTGTGGGCATAGGCCATTAAATGTAATGCGATTGCACCTATGAACGGATCATAGATCTCCAAAATTAGTTTTGAATTCGTAATTTAATATTTATGAGATTTTTATTTAAGTAATGTTCTAATTCTAGATGTTTATATTTGTAAATGCTGCATGCTTTTTACCTATGCTTTTAACGTGGTTTAATCAATGAATGGCCGTGCGCGTGAACTTTCGAGTCGCTTTCAAACACTACTGGAGCGGCGCAGAGTGCCATGGAAACGGCGCGGGACCACTGCGACTGACAAGCAGCAAAACTATCTCTTCTCGCTGTTGTTTTCACTGCTTTCAGGTGAGATTAGTCTCTAAAATCACACGAATAATACACACAACTGTTCTTGACACTTCTCTTACTTGTAATTGACACGCTTCTGTTGAATATTTACTTTATAGACATGGTTTAGTGTCTTCGGAAAAAGTCCGTTAGCATCTCAACCGTTTTCAGAAGAGGTAACGTTAGCAGCTAACGTTAAATTAAGCTAACTTAACTTTTTAACTCGGTTGAGCGTTTGTTTATGAAAGTTTGGGATTTTAATCACCTCTTATGTGTAGATGAGAGTTTTTGTAAAGATTTTACTTATAAAAAAAATGTTCTGTGATTTCAGCAGCAACAAAATAACCCCTCTAAAACAGGGAAAGCTCCACGAGCTCAACATTTCTGAAGACAGCTGCTGCCAGAGATGTAGAAAACACAGGTGAACCGAGGAAGCTCATTACATAACTTCATATCCATTTTGTCACAATATTTTTCACCTAGCCTATATCACGCATCTGTCATTTTCTTTTCTTTTTTTAATTTCTCAAATTTACATTTTTAATTTATTTTAAGAAGGTTTTGACATCCACAGGTAAGTGACACTGTATGAGCAATATTAAATGATTAGCAAACCTAAAAACACATTTATCCTAATTTATCCTGTTATCCTAATTAAAAAAAATATTTTCTTTATATTCTTTCTCTTTTCTGCATTTCCCCTCTGCTGTAATTTCTTTCCTTTTAATAAACCTGGCATTGTATAATAATATTGTTGGCTCTGTGACAAATGGTTCCTAGATCCTTCAATGTTGATGCCCTGCACCGTAGCAGATGAGTTGTTGTCCTGGGGCCGTATTCACAAAGAATTTTGTCTTACCACTAGGAGTACTCCTAAATCGCACTCAAATATTTTAGCTAGGAGTTTTCTCTTAAAAGTTATTCACAACGCCTTTCAGACCTACTCTTAGTAAGGAAAAATGACAACTCCTAAACTAAGAGTGAGTCTTCGTTGCTATAGATGACGTCACTTCTCATGCACGAGCTTCCTCGCAATGATCATGGTGATTGGTTGTTAGATGACAGGGCCATCATGCGGAGCATAACACAGACGCAACAAATCATGGAATTACGACATCTAAATATGTCTGTGTCCTACACAAAATAATAATAGTAATGACATCGAAATGCATATATAATGACATGTTTGTGCAGGCCCCAGTGAAGTGTAATTCTAAAAAGGCAGAGAGAGAGAGAGAAAAGTCGTGAATTCAATTAAATCAAGGTAATACCCTAATAAAAACCACCACTTGCCTAATAATGAAAAAACGACACTTGCATTAACACTTGCTTGGTTAATTGACATCCTATTAGCCTAAATAGAAAAATAAACTTAAAGCAAGGAAATGTTGCTCCTATTGAAGTAATGTAATAGTTGATTTACGGTGGATTATGAACTTGCCAAAACTTAAAAGAAAGCCCAACTGGACGCAGGATCAGTTACTGCTGCTGGCCCAGTTGGTGGCTTGGTGCTCAAAAAAAGTAATAATGATACAAGTGAAATTCGGCACTGGGATATCAAGCAAAACTAAGCGTGAGAATGGGAGAGGATTTGTTCGCAGATCGATGCAGAATTTCCCGCTTGTGTCGCGGACCCCGGACGACTGCGAGAGGCGGTGGTGTGCGCTACAATCCTTTGTGAATAGGTCTTAGTGAGTTAGGAGTCCTCTCGACTTCTTTTAAGCTGTCCCAGACTTAGGTGCTACTTTTAGGGCTAAAATGCTTCGTGAATTACTCTTAGTGAAAAAAATTAGGAGTCCTAAAGTTAGGAGTGACACGCCCATTATTTTTAGGAGTTGCTCCTAAATTCGCCAGTTAGGAGCTACTTTTAGCCTTAAAATTCTTTGTGAATACGGCCCCGGATCATCATCTCTAAGACGCTATGAACCATTTGACTAGTAAATAAAACTTCAAACATACACTAATGTCAAACATACACTAATTGTGAAAAAAACATTCAAAACTTAGACATAAACTTTGAAATAGCAAAAGAGGAAACAACCCCTTACAGTTTCACATAATGTGTCATTGAATGAAATACAATGCAAGTCAATGAAAGAATGCCAATTAATCCACTAATCATACAGAACTCTACAAAATACACCTCAGTCAGATATGATCTTTCTGCTTACCCTTTCTCTGTTTAATTTTCTTTAATTTCATGCTGACAGATGCAGCCAAAAAACAAGGAGCAAAAGTGGTGGAAGCCGAGGAAAAAATAAAAACCTGGCTGAAGTATAGTGGAGACCGAAATGGAGGAAGAAAAAAAAGAGCAACAGAAAAAGGTACACAAGGCCTTTTTAAGGCTGATCAAATATGTTATTAATTATTATATATATTAATATATAAGTTGTAAGTAATTTACATTTTGATAATTACTATATTTTTTCTTTAACACAGAAAAGCAGATGCCTCCCCCTCAAGCAGATTCCAGCAGCTGTGAAAGTGAATGTAAGTGTCTTCCAATGATTGTTTTTTCTTCCTCTGTCTAACCCCACCACTAAACAGAGGTGTATTTCATCTTTACTAGGCGTACACTGCATTAAGATGTATAATTAATTTGCTACCCCAACATGATGAAAATCTCTTGCAGGTGGGAAATACATACTACTGTTCCCCCATAAAACTATACACTCAACTACTAACACCATATTTTTTCAGTTACACAATATATACCTTAGGTCTAAAAAAACACACAAAAAAAAAAAACACACAACATACACTAAATCACTAAATTAATGGTTAAAATCCATAATGCACCAGAAAAGAAAATTATGGTATTTTAATGGGCATTTTGAGGTAAGTTCTAAGAGTCAAATGTGTAATTTTCAACGTTTGATATGTTGACTATGTCCTTTTCGCAAATGATCACATTCTGCTTTTCTGTTTGCTGTTTGTATATTTTACACAACACCCCAACTTTTTTTTCTGTTTTGGGTTGTGTAATTAAAATAGAACGACACATCTTAAATGTTCTAAAAAGTTGTTTGTATGTTTGTTGTTTTTTACAGGAGTGTATGCTGCTACTTCTCCTCCTCCGCTCCGTCTTCATCATCAGAGCCACACACAATCTCTAATTCGCTTCAAATCTGCAGAATACGGAAGAGAATCTGCACATTTTCTCAGTTTTCAGCAGGTTTTTTTTTTTTTTGCTCTTCTTCCGCATTTTCTTTGCCGCCTTTTTTGTGACTTTTTGGTTCCTTGTTGATTTCTTTGACTTTATGTTTTACTTTTTTTGCCGCTGCCTTTGGGTAGTTTTTTTTTCTACTTTTTTGTCGATCGACTCATCGTTGCAAATCCAGAATGAAAATCTGCAGAATGTATCTGCATAAAATGTCTATATAATGGACTGTGGAGATGTTTTAACCAATAAATAGGTTCATTTTTTATAAACAATTCAGTTTGTCTGTTGTGCCGTCTCTTAATGCAATTCAACACTGAATAGGCCATGCATGGCACAATCTTAAAATTTTAGTTTAAGGTAGGTAAAGCCTATTTATTTATTTATTTATTTATTTACTATTTATGAAGTTGGCAGATGGTTAAAATAGGCTATATTTTTAAATTTGTTTGAAGGTCTGCTGGTTGTCCAATGACATGGTTGGCCCAACGTTGGCCCAATGTTGTTTTAGTTGTTTTTAAGTTGGCAGAAGGTTGGTAAGGTATTTTTAGGTTGGCAGAAGGTCTGCTGGCCGTCCAATGACATGGTTGGCCCAACGTTGGCCCAATGTTGTTTTAGTGGCTTTTAGGTTGGCAGAAGGTCTGCTGGCCGTCCAATGACATGGTTGGCCCAACGTTGGCCCAACGGACAAAATTACGTTGGCCCAACGTCAGCACCCAACGTTGGCCCAACACAACAACAGACGTTGGGCCAACGTTGGGCCATCGTCTGTTTGCTACCTGGGTATCAGTATCCCAGAAACTTTCAATGTGTTGGACCTTCTAGACGTACGTGAGATAAAATGCATGTACTCAAATTGAAATCACTCGCGCCTGACGCGCTATTCGCGTCGGAGTAAAATGCATTTACTCAAATTGCAAGAAAAAAATGGGATTAAACGTGTCCCCACTTAGTTGTCCCCAACTAAGCAAGCCAGAGGCGACAGTGGCAAGGAAACCAAACTCCATCAGGTGACAGAATGGAGAAGGAAAAGAAAACCTTGGGAGAAACCAAGCTCAGTCAACGAAGGACTGGAAACGGCCTTCAAATGATTCAAATTTCAAACGTTGTACGAGCCTCGGTCGACAGAGGGCGCACGGGAGCCCTGCACTTCAGGATCTCGCCCTCCCTCCATCTGGGAAAACAGGACTGAAAGAAGCGGAGCAGCCGTACTCGGGAAGGGAGTAGGCATCAGTGGCAACCGCACTTTAGAGCAGTCAGCCTTCTGCCATCCCGCAAACAAACATGGATGAACTGTTACTTAAGGAGGATCTGACGATGCCGCTGTAAGAATGCGTCCACCGCACACATCCCGTTCCCTTTTTCTTTTTCTTTTCCTCTGTAGTTCTTGGAAGACGCTGGCGAAATCACTACCGAACACAGGACCAGTTGGTGAGTTTGATTTGAGATTGTAGCATCCGTCTTTGAGCGGGATATATTTGTGTAGAGCGTGTAGGACAGAACATCGTTTCGCTGCTTTTATTATGTAACTGCCGCATTTGGGCTCACAACAATTTATCATTCGCCGTTGATTTTGCGCACATTTACTTTAGAGCATTATGGGAGTTACAGTTTGGAAACAAAGGATTTCAAACTGTTCGGCCCCTCACATGACCCCTCCGTGATATGTAAAGGGCAGAAGTTTGTTAAACAGGCCCTGAGCTTCAGAAACACAGTTTTATGTGGCATTCTTATCTTAATGTAAAAGTGCACAGTATATACTAAAGCTAGTATCGTTTCGTATTTTCAAGCCCACCCAATATTCCATGAAAAAGCGGCAACATTGTTCCCTGTCGGTCTCTATAACTTCGGTAGTTCTTAATAATTTGAATGAATCTATATGTTACGTTAAAGGTAGTAGCCTAGGGGAGACCTGGGCTAGTTGTCACACTTTTTATTCCAGAAAATATTTCTGTTTTTGAAAGTCAAAGTTTGTTGAGGTACAAATCCTTTTAATAAAAATCTCTTTTGCATCTAAATCTCTGTTTCCCCAGCTCCACCAGAGGAAAAAAGTTAATTGAACAAATGTTGGTCTTTGTGACAACCTGCCCCGGTGAAAACCTGTCACAGCAAATTGTGGACTTGTCAGCATAATTTAAAAGAGTATTATTATTATAAAAATGTAAAATGTAACGCATAGAAATATCAAACCATTGTTTTGGCCAACAAATATTGAAATTTAAGCGAGAAAAAAAACACTAATATCCTGCAAATATAGGCCTACGTACAATACATGCACTCATATTTGAATCAGATTTGTTTGTCATTAATGTTAGTTTAAATAAATGTCTTTTATCTTAAAATGAACATTATAAAAATCAAGAATAATTACAAGTAATTGTTAAAGACAGTTCTACTTAAATTTACTTGCCAGTTTGTCAACATAGCACCAAGCGGATCTTTAAGAGCTGTTTGTGCAAACTCTTTTGTGAACCTCCTTTTTTTCCTCAGCGACTTCCAGTGAATATTAATGTGGGCTTGAAGCGTCTTTTCTCTCATGTGCACTGAGCAGCTCACAAACTCAGGCACAGCCTATTAGTTCTCCTGTATCACTGAGTCGTTTAAATACAGAAATGTAAAGAAAGCCTAAATACTTGAAACTTTGACTGTCAGCATTTCTTACTTTTTGTGGTTTGTAATCTGTATTCTGAAAAGTCATCAGAGGTTTTTTCAGCTGACATCAGAAGTTAATTTACCGCTAGCCCGTGGACTCCAGCCTTTACTGGGACCCTTTGAAGAGAGACCTAAAGGTGAAGCCACATAATAAAACCATGTGTGAGTTCCCTGTTCTAGAGCTGAGAGAAACCTGGGATGACGTTTTAAAAAGCCTTGGATCCTTTTTATCCATGTTTTATTGCAAAGCAGTCTGCTGGAAAGGGCTCCGCTGACTAAGCTCTCCTTGTTGTGCTGATGGGAAACATTTAAATCAGAGTCAGTCAAAAACGTGATGTTTTTGCAAAGTCTTTTGACATGAAAAAGTAAAATTAGATTTAAAAAATGGATCAAGGCACAAGCACAAGAGTGCATTATCATATCCTTCCACGGATAATTTTTTTGTTCTATGTGCAGGATCTTTTTATGCACATATTAAGCATGTCATACATATTAATGAGCTGTTTTTGAAAAATTAATTTGTTCTGAAAACCCAGTGAGAGAGAATGTTATTCCGCATCTATCTATCCATCTGTCTATCTATCTATCTATCTATCTATCTATCTATCTATCTATCTATCTATCTATCTATCTATCTATCTATCTATCTATCTATGTCCGTCTGTCCGTCTATCTGTCTGTCACTGTCCATCTGTTTGTCTATCTGTCTGTCTTTCTGACTTTCAGATTTTTCAGGCTTTGTCATGCAGCATTAAAGTTTGTCTTACATAAACTTGGCCTAGGATTCAAAGACTGAAAATGTAAAAAAATTGTAGAATAATTATTATCATTTATTACTGTTAGATTGGGAAGACAGCAACTAATTACCGCAGCATGACTCATTTTCTCACATAATTATCGACATTCTATATTCGTTCTTAATTCCTCTAAATTCTGTACTTTTTTAAAGTGCTATATTGTGAAGTTGAAATGAATCTGATTATGTTTCTTCTCAGCACTGCATAAAATAAGTTGTCAACTCACCCTTTAAACACAATAGCAGGATAGCAGGGCAGCTTCCTGTCACTTCTCTACTGTCATCATGACATTCAGGAAATTTGACACTGATTTTCACTTACGTCCTTGTGCACATATAGACATTTTTTTTGTGATCATTTGTTTAAACAGTGTATCTTTAGAGTTGTGAGCTAAAGGGTTGAGTTTTGGTTGTGTGAATCGCATTGAGGCATCAGATGTTTGTTACTGACACGCTGTAAAGCATCTACCAGAGCGTGAAATATTGTTATCCTGATGGGTTTTTTTTGCAGTGGCAAGGCACGCACATCCCTGTCCTAATCAAGCTGACACCTAGAGCCGCGACCTCTGATTCGGGACAAAGGCCTGGCGAGGGAAGGCCAGCCTAGACACTAATGCAAACTGACTGCTGGAGATTTTAGTGCATCCGTCTTTGCCTTTAGGCAGGTATTGTTGACCATGCCCATTTTGCAGTTTTAAAAACAGCTGTATTGTTCCTCTTATAATAGGTTTTGGTTTATATTCAAATCAGAATTGGGGTGGTTTCATTGAAACGTTTGAAAAAAGTTGTTTTGCTCTTCCCTTTTGTCTTGTGTTCATGATTGTGTAGGATACCGTCCAGTCGGCACATATTAAATCATTGCATTGTCAACTTCCAGTAGATTTCATGAGATTCCCCTTAAGGGGGTTTTACATCCTCCTCTCATGCAAAGTCGAGTGTTACCATGACAGCACTTGTTTGAGTGCTGCCCCGGCTTGCCACTCTATGCTTTTATTTGGGACACAATCGCTGCATTGTCCTGCATGATGCTTTTATTAGATGTCATGGAAACTTGTATGACTTTATGCAGCTCCAGTGAAATCAAATCAGCCATGATATAATTAGTACTACAGTCAGGTTCTGGAAGTATATATCCTATACATTTTCTCTATAGGGGAATTGATTTTTAATGGTTGTTAATCGATGGTATATCAGCCCGCATTATTTCAATGCATTTTTATGAGCGAAATTCCTAGCGAAAAATTACAATCCCCATAATTCTTCAAAGAAATCACCACGATCAGAGAATTGCAACAAGCCAAAAATTGTTGATGATTAAAGGCGTTTTCATTAACTCTTTTCCTGCCAGCGTTTTTGAAAAAAGTTGCCAGCCAGCGCCAGCATTTTTGATCATTTTCACAAAGGCCCCATGAATATTTTGTAGTGTGAATATCTGAACAAGCATCTGCTTTTAAACAAAAAAAGTTTTATTCTAGGTTAATGCATTCTTTTTTATCAACACCTGAATGTGGGTAAGTTTCATAAAAAAAGCTACATTTTGAGCAAAAAGCTGAGAAAATTGTGTTTTTGTCAAAGACTTCATCCAGATCGGATTCAGACCGATAATCAAAAAAACATAGATGGAGTAGATTGAGTCCATCAACACCACTAATGCTTGCACAGTCCTATAACTCGTCCTGGGTCGACATTTCATTCAGTAACATTGGGCAGTTTCGATTTATATGCTGTTTAGTGTTGATGATCGCGTTATTTTACATATATGTGCATATGCTTATGCTTGTTTCTGCTTCTTCTTCGCATGTCTTTTAATCAGGAGATGCTGAACTATTTCAGAAGATGTGTAATAGTGCCCTCTACCATATAACAGCCAAAAATCCTGAAAAATCCATCAATGTCAGGGAAGCATTGTCTCATAAATGAGGGAAAATTCTATCAGTAGTGGGGAGAGTTATCTAAGCGAGGAGTTTAACTCTTTCCCTGCCCGCCCGCCAGCCAGCGGCAGCATTTTTGATCATTTTCATAAAACTTTCATGGCCCCCAGAATATTTTGTTGTATGATTATTTGAACATGCAATATATCAAAAGAAAGAACAGAGCCTCTGCTTTTAAACAAACAAACAAAAAAAAAACATTTTATTCTAGCTTCATGCATTCTTTTTTTTAATCAAAACTTGAATGTGGGTAATTTTCTTAATAAAAGCTACTTTGCACAAAAAGCTGAGAAAATCACGTTTTTGTCAAAGACTATGTGATTCAGAAAACAAATGGAGTAGATCGAGTCCATCAACACCCCTAAAGCTGCACAGTCTTAACCACTTCCTAGGTCGACATTTCATTCAGTAACGTTAGGCAGTTTTGATGTATATGCCGTTTAAAGCTGCAGTCGGCAAGTCTGGCAGATTGAGTGGATTTAAGAAAATTTTGAATGTTTACAACTCTCATGCCCCTCCCCCACTATCAACGGACACCCTCCCACAGTCCCACCGAGTTCGTGCTCGTCAGTGCGTGTGCACCAGATTTTCAGTGAACGCGCCCGTCTCATCACCATCCATCAACACCATGGAGTATTTGGAGGTATGCTGTCCTGGCTAATCTACCGATAGATTGCAATTGCTAACATCATTTATACTCTAAATGAGCTTACTTGATTTTCCGCCATCACTCTTGGTTACTGCGCGAACTTCAGGCGTGTGCATGTGATTGTAACGTGCGCGAGGGGTGGCGTGTGCCCGATCTGTGATTGACAGTCAGATCTCACACCCCCCTGCGCTGATTGGACATGATGAACCGGGAGCTGTGGGTTTTTGCAAAACAAATAACACGCTCCAGGTGGAGTTAGAAGCTCGGGTTTTTTTCAAAAAACACTTTATTTATGTTGTTCTGTCAGATTATAGTGTCGATTTCACTGAATATGATCAAAAAAATGTTGCCGACGGCAGCTTTAATGTTTGATGATCACATTATTTTACATGCCCATATGCAA